TCATTTGTGAAGAGTTTTTGTTTAGATGCAAATTTATTAAATGCTAATTTGTGATGTCACATTTTTAAGATGAAGAACTCATTATATGAATAGATTATTTTGTGTTCACTGTCATGCTTTTTGATCAGATTCGTCGGTAAAAGAAACCAGAAATGTCGATTCTTTCATATGAGCTTTTTCGCTTATTTTTTACACCTTTTCACTATCTTTAGACATTTAAATATACTGAATAGTTAATGGTGCCATTGAACCTTTGTTACAAAATAGTTTTTGTAAAAACGAAAATTTATTCACTTGTACAACTTAAAATTCAATCTAAAAACACCTGATAGCGGCGGCCGGCGGCTCTTCACAACTCGGCATCTCAATAAGCGCGCGGGGAATGGCAGGAAAATCTAAAAATAGCACCAAGAGGGGTAAATGCCGTTCCACAAGCCCATGGGAAGAGGAAGGCTCCTAGTAATGGGCTCCTGGCRGAGCCTAACGCCTGAATTATTTAATTAATTATTTGCAATAAATTAAATAAACAATTAACAATTTATACAACAGCTCTAATAATATATATTCGTACAATAATCTTGAATGTCCTACAGGGACTCGAATAGCGGTCCAGAANTAAACTCTTTCTGTAGTTATTATTCTTGGAACCAACCCGCCAAAGAAGTCCTTCTACAAACAAGTAAATATATTAATACCAGCGACATAAAGACACTAAACATGCAGTTAAACTCTTTCTGTAGTTATTATTCTTGGAACCAACCCGCCAAAGAAGTCCTTCTACAAACAAGTAAATATATTAATACCAGCGACATAAAGACACTAAACATGCAGTTAAACTCTTTCTGTAGTTATTATTCTTGGAACCAACCCGCCAAAGACGTCCTTCTATAAACAAGTAAATATATTACCAGCCACATAAAGCCACTTTATATCATATGATATGCATTCAAACACTTGCTGTATTCATTCTTTTTTTTTTTGCTTGTGAGAGTATTTATATCATGGTAATAATCATTTTAGCGATATTTCTAGGGGAAGAAAGTGTGTTTGTGCTTTTATGAGCTTTCCATCTTTGTTAAATTTCGACTGAGTTAAATATACAATCTAAAAAAACTGAAGTAAGAAATGAATGGTGGTTCAACAAAGGTAAACCCGGTTGTGTGTGTAATTATTCCGTTGACGAATGAGAAATGTATAAAAATAAACTGAAGAACTGAATAGAGCACCTTTTGACGGAAAGAAAAAAACCCTGAAGATAGATGGAAACAAAAGAACGAAAAACAAAAAGAGCAAGATAAGCTTGAAAAAATAAATAAATAAATAAATAAATAAATAAATAAATAAATAAATAAATAAATAAATAAATAAATAAATAAATAAATAAATAAATAAATAAATAAATAAATAAATAAATAAATAAATAAATAAATAAATAAATAAATAAATAAATAAATAAATAAATAAATAAATAAATAAAACTGAAGAAAGAAAACAGCTTTTGTAGGAAAGGAAACAAAACTAAAAATTAATGAAAGTAAAAGAAGGAAAAACAAAGAGAACAAGATAAACTTGAATAAAACAATAAACTGTAGAAAGAAAGCAAAATTCATTGGATGAYTCAACATTTTACTTTAGCCATACTCTCTAGTACATATATATCTTTTAAAAAGAAATAAAATTTTACTTATAATTGATTACATAAAATGTTTGAAAATATGGTTAATTTAACAAATTTATAGCCTCCTCCATCACGGTTGACGGCATTTCAACGTCAAAATTGTTGTTATTCACTCGACTTCAATTCGTCTCAAAATTTCTTACTCTGTTAGACCTTAATATAAAGGGTTCAACCCGATGTGATTGCTGCTCAGTAGAGTTTTGGCTGTTCGGTTCTCGGCTCTGTATTGCTCTTCCGCACAGTACATGCTTTGCAGCTTGTCGAAAGTCAGGCAGGTAGATGATGTAGATAAGAGGACTGAAGCAGGAGTTGACAACAGGAAAAAAGTAATCAGAGATAAATTCAAAAGATTCCCAGTCTATGCAGGCTGAATAATCAATGATTTCAATTGGTTCTACCGAATCCAAAGCGTGAACAACGTAAGATGGCAGCGAGCAACATGTGTACAGCAATGTAGAGACGAGAACCATTCGCACGGCTGCTTGAGCTCGACGTCTTCGCATTTTACGCTGCTGTTCGTTTAGATGGGATTGGATGGCGTGAGGTTGGGACAGTCGTCTTATTGTTATAATACTAAGATCGAATATTATGCAGCACAAAATAACAAGTAAAATTGCTTCTGCCACCGTAACAAACCAAATAGACCCATACGTTCTGTAAGCAGTGACGGGAATGGGAATTAACCAGCAGATGGCGACTTCTTTCATTGTATTTCGAAGTGTATATGGCAGCGATATTTGTATTGTATGTCTCGTTGCTCTGAATCGTCTAATGCTGACCACCAATAGAGTTATTAGAGATACTCTAAACGAAACCCTTATCAAGAATTGTAAAATGTCGCAGAGTACAATACCCAACATACCGTTAGGACAATCACTCCATTTATTGTCAGACAACCAGGGAATTTCCAGTATTAAGAAGCTGAGAAGAAAAATGAGATCCGACACAGCCATGTTGATGATCCAATGGTGCAGATTTTTGCGTACTGTGTATTTAGTAGCGAGAATAATGACAAAAATGTTGCCCAAAACACCTAGCACAAGAAGCAATACGATGACGGTGCGTTTGGCAAATTTCTCAATATCAGTGTCTGGCTGATCGTATTTGCAGAATCTGGAACTGGTGGTTGAGTAGTTGGCGAGTGTGATGTTGTCCTCCATCTGTAGTTTATTTGCTCGTTGTCTGTAGATAATTCAAATGATGAATAAATCTCCCTTATTATTGACATTTAACACGTTTATCATAATTTCATTATCATTAGATAGTTAAATATTCCACCGTCGAATGCAAGTGCAGCTCTATTTCATGACGTCGATTTGGTGACCACATGCAAACAGTCAACTTAAGAATATCTGCCCTCTAATACAGCCAATCGAAAAAAACCTGGACGCTGACAAATAGAAGTAGATTAATATATAGTGTTGATTATTTTAAATTTGTCTTCTAGAACTCATTAATAATTCATGAGCTAATAGTCCAATGAGCATCGAGCTATTGTTTCTCGCCTGCGGCTCGAATCTATATTTCTTAAATATATGTTACCAGTCAGACTTCTTTTAAATGTGCGTCTTCGTTTATAATTCCATTTTTAACTTAAAGATTAAAGATAAACAGAATTAAACAAATAGAGGATATTTACATGGACGCGCAGAGATAAGGATCAGTTTTTCTTCAAGTGTTGAATTTATTTTTAGCGAGAAGATAAAAAATCGTATCTCCATGCGACCAAGTAATATTCTGTTTTGTCCTATAATATATTATTCATGACAGTAGACCGTATTTTAAAAAGAAATTTTTATTAGCCTCCAATATCTGGAAATACCAAGAATGTGTTATTTTAACTATTAAAAGTAGCAATACTCCATTTTCGAATTTAAAGCGAACAACTTCTGCTTTATTTGAAAGCAGATTTTCTTACGCAAATTAAAGTCTTACCAAACAAAAAAAGAAAGCACAAGAAAATGTCATATAATAAGCTAATATAATTGAATACCTCTTAAACTTTTAATGTTTTTTTTTTTTTTATCGTGTTTTTCTTCTGCCTGTATGTTTTCTTTTTCTTAGTTTGAAGAAAATTGAATTTTGAAGCTTTATCCTTGAACTCACGAGTATTTACAATCATTTAAGTTGGGTCTCGGAATATTCACGAATAAAAGAACGAAAGGGATTGGTGGACACGATACCTGGTGCACACACCAATCACGTGACAAGTGTTTCATACCTTGTCATGACACTAGTGAAAAACGCACTGCGCATACCCACAGCTTTCCCGCCAGTGTGCGCTCGCGTCTTGAAATCTGTTAACCAAGCGCCTGGCGATTTACAGCGACAACACAGAAACAGTACGAAAAACCTCATTTTCTCAAAATAGAAATGACAAGATAAAAAGAGAAACTACATACTAAAAGAACCTATCATGAACAATGATTGATGGAAATATGAATCTTATATATCGGTGAATGAGCTTATAAATTGTAAAAAACTTTCACAAAAACCGCTTTACAAAGAAAACAAGCAAGAAAATCGTGATTTTTATGTTACTTGGCACTCTTGTTCATTTGACCGATGCATCAAACATGTATATTGCCCACTTTGGTTTTAACCGCGAAAAGGTCTATTACATTTACCTAGGCCAATTAATTATTCCATGGAGTGCCAAGACTGCTGTTATAACTGTCATTCCTCGTAAATAAATAAATATCTTGCGCAAGTATAATGCCCGATGGGCAACAATGATTCCATTATTTCTCTCAGTTTACTATTCCATGGAAAAGTCATCTCTAAAAACTGTCATTATTTTGATGGGCACATGCATACAGGTGTGTATTAATCATTCTGCTTTCGAATTAAAGATCAAAATAGAAAGAAAGACAAATCTTCTTTGAAAATCTTGAGGGCTAAAGTGAATCCATCTTCAACTTGTATCTAATGCTATATTACCGTCTGATGATACCAAAACGGCGTTTGCTTAGACCCAAATTAAAAAATCCACCCCGGGATGTCCTCACTTGCATTAATTGATCCTCTTTTTTACTCCAGAGAATTATTTAGTAATCGTAAGTTTAAAATTGTCATATAACAGTAACAACATGATGCTTTCTGGAATAGCTTTATAAAAAAGAAAACATAGCAAAGGAAGAAAGGTGAGGTGAGATGGACAAAAGAAACCCCCACAGAATCAGTGAAAAGAAAGAGGACACGACATGCTGAGATTATCATTCATTTTAAAAAAATAGTGAAGGAAGGAATGAAACTTCATTGAATGGTGGTTCAATATAGTGCACACAGGTGTGCGTCTTTCCATGACAAATGAGAAATTAAAATAATCTGAAGAAATAGAACACCTTTTGAAGGAAAGGAAAAAACGCTGAGAATACGCTGACAATTATTAAACAATGAATTGTAGAAAGGAAACAAAATTCATTGGGTGATTTGGATGATCCAACATTTTACTTTAGCAATAACTATTACTACATGTATATCCTGTTAAAAGAAAACAATTTGTACTAGAATTAATTATACATAATGTTTGAAAGTATTGTGGATTTAAGCAATTTATGGACTCGTGGTAAGTCCTCTTATTAACCACGTTGGGCGGCATCTCGACGTCAAAATTGCTGTTTATTCACTAGACTTCGTCTCAGAATTTCTTACTCTGTTAGACCTTAAAATAAAGGGCTTGACACGATGCGATTGCAGCTCAGTCGAGTTTTGGCTGTTTGGCTCTCGGCTCTGTATTGCTGTTCGGCACAGTACATGCTTCGCAGCTTGCCGAAAATCAGGCAGGCATATGATGCAGATAAGAGGACTGAAGCAGGAGTTGACGAAAGGAAGAATATAATCAAATATAAATTCGAGAGAGTCCCAGTCTATGCAGGCATTAACTATTTCAGCTACTTGAATGGAAAGCTGTTCCAATGAAAACATAACGTGGATAATCAAAGATGGAGTCCAGCAACATGTGTACAGCAACACAGAGACGAGAACCATTCTCATGGCCCTTTGCATTTGACGTCTTTGTGCGTTTCGCCGTTGTTGGTTTAGATGGGCTTGGATGGCGTGAGGTTGGGACAGTCGTCTTATTGTTATAATACTAAGAACGAATATTATGCAGCACAAAATAACAAGTAAAATTGCCTCTGCCACCGTAACAAACCAATTAGACCCATACGTTCTGTAAGCAGTGATGGGAATGGGAATTAACCAACAGACGGCGACTGCAGTCATTAATTGTCGAGGTGTAAAAGGCAACGATCTTTGTATTGTATGTGTTGTTACTCTGAATCGTTTAATGCTGACCACAAATAGAGTTATTAGAGAAACTCTCATCGAAACCCTCAACAAGAATTGTAAAATGTCGCAGAGTACAATACCCAACATACCGTTAGGACAATCACTCCATTTATTGTCAGACAACCAGGGAATTTCCAGTATTAAGAAGCTGATAAGATAAATGGCATCCGACACGGCCATGTTGATGATCCAATGGTTTATGTTCTTGCGTACTGTATATTTAGCAGCGAGTATAATGACAAAAATGTTGCCACAAATCCCCAGAACAAAAAACAATACGAAGACGGCGCGTTTGGCAGTTTTCTCAATATCAGTGTCTGGTTCATCGTATTTGCAGAATCTGGAACTGGTGTTTGATTGGTTGGTGAGGGAGATGTTGCCGTCCATCTCTAGTTTATTTGATCGTTCTTGTATAACGGTGAAGTAATTCAAATGATGACATCGAATGAGGGTATAATAATGTTATTATCCTTGGCTAGTTATTAAATATTTCATTGAATACCAGTTCTGCTCTTATTGATGTCATCCATTTGATGTGCACCTGCAAACATCCATTTTACGAAATTCTGTCTGACACAGTCAATTGTTGGAATATAAAAAATCGCTACGCTCGTGTTTCGAAGATTAAAGCTTCTCTCGTGTTTTTCAGTTCCCACCGTGTTTATATCAGAGGACAGAGACACAAGCTCCGTTTTATATTTCTTAAATACAGTATATGTTAGCAGTCAGACTTTTTGAAAATGTGTGCGTGTGTGTGTTGATAATTCTATTCTAGACCAAAAGATTTAAATATAATGAAATAAGTAGAGGATTTTACATGTGCCCGCGGAGGTACAGATCGGTTTATCTACAAGTGTTGAAAAGATTTTAAGCACTCGAGAAAATAAAAACTTGTATTTCCAAGCGACCACATAGACCATATGAAAAAGGGCGTGGCTATCGGAACTCATTTAGTTTATAAGATTTTTATTGTATCATTGCTACCCGTTGAAAGAACACATCACAATGAATAAGATGTAAACGTTTCATTGCTCATACATTTTAGGACCAGAAATTACAAGTGTTTGAAGTTGCAAAGGTTTAAAGTTTTTTTTTACATTTCAAATGCTCATAACTCTGCTGATATTTTAACAATTGAAACCAAAACTCTGCCAATTTACTAGCTGAGACATACTCCTTCCTATGGTGAAAACAGATGTTTAAAAATCTAGAGCGTTGAATGTTCTCATTCCCAGTTTTCTGCTGGTTTTTGCATATGGTCTATAGCATTATGTTTTGTCATATATTATTCATAACAATAAATTGTTTATCACAGTTGTGTGAATTCTCGCTGCATGATTGGCTGATTAGATTTTGTACACTGTGTTGACACCACATCACTTCTCGCGTGCGCGCTCAATTGAAAGAAAATAATGATTTTCGCTAATTTTTAGACAAACAATTTGGTAAGGAAATTGCACACTCTTGACGCCATAAAATGCAAAAAACTCAAGTTGACCCACGAGCGCAGCAAAAACTGTGCGCAATTTGTTAAATGTTTTAACGCCAACTAAATAGGAAATAGGAAAATAGGAATAGGAAATAGGAATAGTACTATTAAATAACATTACCCCCTATTAGCTACCGATAGTTTAACTTGTGAAATGCGACAAACACGGTTTTTATTTTGCCTTTTGGTAGTCTACTACACCCTAATAGTTGCTATTAAACACTGTAAATGTTTCACAGACGGATGGAAATGACTCTATTTCCATATGGAACTTATTGCCATACATCGGGTGACATTTGCTTGGATTATTGTCCAGGCTCACTCATGCATCCATGCATGCATGTATATATGCATGTAATTTATTTATTTACTTCATGAAATATAATACAATGGAGTTAATTAATATTTTGAAGTCGATCGACCTCATTAACATCATCATCTGACCATTAAATACTATTAATAGCAAAAGTCACCTCTAGAAAGGAAAGTACATGTACATATAATATCACAGTTACGTTCACTGACTGATATAAATTTTTCAAATATTGAATTAACACTAAACTGCATAGTTTTGAGTACATTTTAAACATATAATAAGAAAGCAATAATTTGAAAAATTCAAGTTTGATTTTTGTTGCTTGTGCCTACAGAAGTAGTCTCCTTTGCATCCGTTCATCGTCGGGACAGGAATCCCGAAACGCAAACGGATGCGAAGCAACGCCAACTCTTCAAAGGCGAAAATACGTGATTTGATTTTTAAATTTTCTCACGAAAAATACACAGCAATGTCACACATACATTTTATTTCTTAAATCCGGTGCTAGGTTTTTTATTAACAAAATAAGTTTTTTGGAGCGAACTGTGGTGAAAACATGGATCGCCATACTATTTTAATGCTCAACTTCAACTCTTCAAGGGCAAAAATACGTGATTGGATTTTCGAATTTTCTCATGAAAAATACCCAGAAAGGTCGCATATAGATTTTATTTCTTAAATMYGGTGCTAGGTTTTTACGATTGTTTTTAATGTCGCCGCATTTCTTCAAAAAGCCTTGAAATCTGGCCTTTTTTCGTCAAATTTGGCACTTAATACGGACTGTCCGGTCAAGCTTGAGTGATCACGGACTATTTGTCCCCCATAAGTTCCATATGGGTTTAGAATCAAATTGTCAATATGGTTTTGGTATATTTCCTCGGAAATCATACTATTACGTGGGACTTCCAGTAAATCTCCTCGGCTTCGGAGACATTAAATCCCTAATGTCCCTCAGTGACATGGTATTACTAACAATAATTACATGATAAAATTTCGGATCCTAAGATGACGGATATTCTTATCAAAATTACTTGTTTTAAACATTTTAACTTCAAAAACTCCTCAAATTGTAACGTTTACCATAAAATACCGATGTATCCAAAAAAGGTGAGATTTGGAGTCAAATTATTCAAAGACGACAAAGACAGTATAGGAAATGAGGTCATCGCAATACTCCAGTTTCGAGTTCAAAGCGAATTACCGCTGTTTTACTTGACAGCAGATTCTATTACGCAAAGAACTTACCGACAAAACTTACGACAAAAGAAAGCACGAGAAAATGTTGTTAATACAATAGAGCGCTAAGAATCTACATTTTCCCCGAGTTGAGGCTAACCCTGCTCATACCTTAGGTCTTATGGGAATACAGGGATAATMTCAACTCRGGGAAAATGMAAATTTTCAAGTYTATTGTAATAACGACATTTTCTCGTGCGCTCTTTTGTGTTTGTAATGTCTTTGCGCAAGAGAATCGGTTGTCAAATAAAGCAGCGGTTATTCGCTAGCTATGAATTCGAAACTGGAGTATTATGACGTCGCATTTATTACCATGGATACAAAACGAATTATAACATCACAGGAGAGCAGAAACGCCTAAATGTGATATTCAACTGGTTATCTAGATATAGATATATCATTTATAAAAATTACCTGATATCTATGACGTCATTGTAACGTCATATAGAACGGGGGTCAATTAAAAAAACAAAAAAGTATTATTTTCAAGTCATTTCAATAATGAACAGACGATATTGAAGCATTATGGAATCGTAGACAGTTTATTAAAATGCATAATATATTGTTAAATGTAAATGACGTCGAAAATATCCGTGTATCTTTCAAAAAAGAAAAGTTGGAGTTGGAAAACAATTAGACAAAACTACAAACTAAAGAAAGCAAGAAAACAAAAAGTACGAACATTTTTCCCATAGCTATTACAATACTTATTATGTCATTAGGATAGCATTGAATCAGTTTTCTTCCCCGTCGTTGTCAATAATTTTTAACAATTTTTGTCGGGTTACTCAGTCCTAAGAAAAATCCGGAATTACATTCAAAATAGGGGCCTTAGTGGAAGAATTCTAAGAGAAATATTTAACAAATTGCACACGGTTTTGAGTTCTATGTCCTCTTATCATTGAAATACTCTTGACGTCATAAAATGTTCAAAACTCAAGTGGATTCTTGGATTCCCTGCAAAGTTTTGAACATTTTATGGCGTCAAGAGCGTGTCAACAAGAGGACATACATCGTAAAAACACATTTTTACCACATTTTAGCCTAAAAATTAGCAAAAATCATTCTTTTCTTGTAACATCGCGCGCGCGCGCGCGCGCACGAGACTTAGTGACACATTCTTATCAAGCGAGAATATACACAAGTGTATTCAAAAATGAGTTATTTTATTTATAATACGAATATGGAGATGGCTGTCGTTCTTGATATTGAAAATTATATATTATTTTAATGCAAAGTGTTCATGATTTCATTATCCCGCGCTTGTCAACTATTACTTGCCAACGTATAGTCTTGCAAGTGGCAAGACAGCTCTAATTAGTGTCATTCTTTTTTAAGCCCATATTTGAGTTAAGATCTCTTCGTGCAGTTGACACACTCTATCTTTTGTGAAAATGTGTGCGTTCTAACGGTTTTTTTCAGTACTTATCTCTCAAACCGTGAAATATAAGTAGTCGTATTTCGCACTATTTGCTAATTCTATTGACAATTTGTTCAGCTAGCACAATTTAGTCAATAGCTTACTTTGCCGGATGAGCACATGCTTACAGGTGTGTATTAATCATTCTGTTAAACGACTTAAAGATCAAAATAGAAAGAAAGGAAAAAACGTTCTGAAAGAAATCTTACGGTCTGAAGTGAATCCATCTTGCCGTGGTAAATAAGAGGACTTAAAACCACGAAAGAGCCATAAACTTTGCTAACTTTTTAAAAGATGTACATGTACGTAGTAATAGTTATGGCTAAAGTAAAATGTAGAACCACCATTTAATGACGTTATTTTCCCTTTCTTCGTTATGTTTGTTTATTTTTCGTCTCACCTGTCCTGTTCTCTTTCTGTGCATTGATTTTATATTTTTTTCCTTTCTTTTTTGGTTCCTAGCCTCACCTTTCCTTTTCTAAAATGTTTATATACAACTAGTCCTCTTATTTACCACGGCTGGCGGCATCTCGACGTCAAAATTGCTTCTTATTCACTAGACTTCGTCTCAGAATTTCGTACTCTGTTAGTCGGCCTTAGTATAAAGGGCTTGATACGACTTGATTGCAGCTCAATTGAATTCTGGCTGTTCGGTTCTCGGCTCTGTATTTCTCTTCGGCACAGTACATGCTTTGCAGCTTGTCGAAAGTCAGGGAGAAATATTATGTATATAAGAGGACTGAAGCAGGAGTTGACGACAGGTAGAAGGTATTCTAAGATAAATTCGAAAGATTCCCAGTCTATGCAGGCATCAGCTATTTCAAGTACTTCAATGGAAATCTCTCCTAATGAAACCAAAGCGTGAATAACTAAAAATGGAGTCCAGCAACATGTGTACAGCAATACAGAGACGAGAACCATTGTCATGGCCCTTTGCATTTG